ATCTTTCTGTATCTGTTGAATTCTAAACTCATGATAAATTCCTAACGTTTTCTTCGATAAAATGTTTGTATTATCTAAACTGTATTTTGACATCCAAATTAATTACTATCATTCGCCTGATTATAGTTTTGCAATAAAATTAACTCAAAGATTGTTAGTTTTTTTCCCCGTCAAGACTTCAAGATCCTTTATTAATCTTATACGGATTATCATTCATCCTCTCTGTTAACATTCACTATATTTACATTCAATAATTATTTGATAATCAATATTAATCCATTCGTAAACTTTTATATCATCAAGAACGAAGATCATGGAACGTTCGAGTGTAATGTTGGAGCTTCAGAGGTCTTTAATTGTGTTCCGTTGAATCCCGGCAAATCTTTGGCAACAGCTAGTGTCAGCCTGGTCTGACGTTAGCCACTTACGTTAAGAATTTCAAGAGATTTTAGTGCCGTGCTGTTAATCCGAATACTAGCAATGTCTGTCTGATATACGAACTGCACACCTAATTTTCCTGTGATGGTTTAGCAAGCAATATAGACAATTGAAGACACCTTGGTGAAAGCCGTCACATTACATCGAACATCGGCATTCGGCCGCAAACCATGACTCGTCACCCACCCCAATCCCATCAAGTAATAAATCACTGAAGAATGATTATGCAAATCCTGTATCGTTTGCTAATTCCCGAGCTGAGCTCTGATTGGCTCCATGATCCCTAAGGATTTTGGTGATGTCATATATTAGCATACAACTTCACCGAATAGACTACCCCCATTAGATATTAGATATCTATAAGTGTCCTCATAGTACGATGGTCTAAGAGGGTAGCTAAAGGTATGCTCTAGTGGGCGGCTACCCCCTCACTCCCTGGCCTTTTGGTTAAGACTAAGTTTTATGTTCACTCTCGGGATAGCGTGGAAGAGCCGAAATCTCTAACCGTAACGTAAGCCGATTCGCCGCCTCAGCTTCATAGAATGTCTCGGGGGAATCGTCCCATCTTTTTAGTTTTTTATTTCCACTTATTTCTTATGTATTCCGGGGGGGTACATCCTCTCCTGAAATGGAATTTCTGAGTTCGAGTCCTGCTTCTGGTATTTCTCTTTTTTTGCTTGTTTCTTTTTTGTTTATTTCTTGTTTTCTTTTCTTCTTTCTTTTTTTCTTTTTCTTTTCTTCTTTTTCTTTGCTGTTGTTACTTTGTTTGTTTTTCT